TAATTGTACCATGGTCTCGTCGGCTGCGTCTTCCCCCTATTGCGCACTACAATGAGTGCGAGTGAGAGCATACTTTCTTATAAGTGCGAAAGAAACAAGATGATGATGTCGTTTTACCCTGATGCTGTGCATGGGGCTTAAAAAGGACTGTTATATGATAATGAGTATTAATTTTTCCGTAATTTTTCGGTTTTTACCCAAAGTTGCCCTTCAGGACTCGCTCCCATATTGTTCCCATTTCAAAATATTTTTGTGCAATATTACATGTTACGCATTGTATGTGTTTGCTGCAAGAATTGGAATAAGTAATTTTCATAAGCACACAAGGGCTAACGTTTTGAGAAAGCATCGTCCATGTACAACCATAGTAGTGCACTGAGAGAAAAAAATGGTTTTATTAAAAAAAAAAGATTTTTTTTTCGAAATACGTAAGCAGAAATATATTCAAGTGTTGTAATTAAGCCATGAACTTATGACCAGTGCATAACATATTATGCACTGCACTTAATACTTAACTTTTTTGAAATGTACATATGTGCTCACAAATTGGGGCTAGCCGAGTTGAGCAGAAAATTGCAAAAAATTGTCCGAGTTGAGCAGAAACACTTTTTGGACATAAAAAATTAATGTCCAAGTTGAGCAGAAACGATTTTTGCACATAAAAAATGAACGTCCGAGTTGAGCAGAAACGATTTTTGCACATAAAAAATGAACGTCCGAGTTGAGCAGAAAACCGATAACGGTAAAAAAAACATCCGAGTTGAGCAAAAACGCTTTTTGCACATAAGAAATCAATGTCCGAGATGCGTCAAAATCATTATTTATTCATATATTTTTTATTTATTATTCATTTATTTGCAAATAATTACATATTACTAATAATCATATGTATCAATGCATATGTAAGTGCACGCGCACTGTCAATTCGATGAAAAACAACGGCGTAATAATTTTTTTCTTTTATTTTTTTGACATTTTGTATGGGAGCTATCCGATATAGTCGACCGATCCGGCTTGTTCCGACTTATATACTGCGTGGAATAACTACACAACTTTTCGAAAAGTTTCAGCACGATAGCTTCAAAACTGAGAGACTAGTTTACATATGTAGAAACAGACAGACGGATCGACGGACAGACGTACAGACGGATTTCGATTCAGATCGTGATGCTGATCAAGAATATATATACTTTATGGGGTCTGAGGTGTCTCCTTCACTTCATTGCAAACTTCTGACTGAAATTATAATACCCTTTGCTCTGCAAGGGTATAAAAAAACTAAACTGAAAAAATAACCTTTTTTTTTGAAAAATTAAATTATTTAATTAATAATGATTTTGTGGCATCTCTGACATTGATTTTTTATGTGGAAAAGGCGTTCATGCGCAACTCGGATGTTTTTGTTTTTTTTTTTTTACCGTAATCGGTTTTCCGCTCAACTCGGACGTTCATTTTTTTATGTCCAAAAATCGTTTCTGCAACGGAATGAGACGGAAAGGAGAAAACGAAAATTTGTTTGAGTAGACAGCGGATAGTACCGTAATATCAGTCGTTTATAGATCAATGAGTGCGAGTGAAAGGCTAGGTTTTCGTTCGTCCGAAAGACAAAGGAAAAGAATTTGTGATTGAAAAATTAACTATGTATGTACTGTATGTCAAGAAACACTTTACACACTGAAGATTGTTATTATATTTTGACTTTTCGTGCAAAAATAAGCCCCTTGTGTTTAACTTTATGATATTATTAAATAATGCGATTATATTATTTAAAGTATGCCTATTTAGTTAGTTTGAAAACAAAATCTAAATAATCCACAGAAAATGAAGAAGAAGACAAACTAAGAGATTACACAATTTTAACACTGTCAAGAAACTCTTTACACATTTAGCTTTTTCATTCTGTTTTGTTCTTTTCGAAAAAATAAACGGTACTTTACCGCTATCTATGACTTGTAAGTAGCGTTATTTTTACATTCCCTTTTAATTTGTTGTGAAATTGGCCAAAGGTAGCATCAAAAAAGAGCTTTACAAGATTTTTATAATGCCTGGCAAAAGATTGACCTTTGAGATCACTCAGTTGATCTACTATAATAATAAATTGGGAAAATCGGCCGCGGAGCTTGCTGAAATGTTTTCAGTTTCCAGAAAAACCGTTTACAACGTCTTAAATCGAGCGGAATATGAAGGTAGGCTGGAAACAGTGAATGGAGGGGGGCGTAAAAAGAAGATTGGGGAACGAGAAGACCGAAAAATAATGCGAAAAGTTAATAAAAATCCCCAAATTTCGACGAGAACTCTTGCCAAGGAGCTCCAGAAAGAGTGTGGTGTAGTTGTTTCACACGAAACAATACGCCAAGTAATTTTGCGGCACAAGTACTCCTCCAGGGTCGCTCGAAAGAAGCCTCTTCTGTCGCAAAACAATATTGAAAAACGTAAAGCCTTTGCTGAAGCCATGATTAGGCAGCCGCAAGAATATTGGGACGACGTAATATTCTGCGACGAAACAAAAATAATGTTGTATTACAACGATGGTCCAACCAAAGTGTGGCGCAAGGCACTGACAGCGCTTGAGAACCGCAACATCATTCCGACAGTTAAATTCGGAAAATTGTCGGTTATGATTTGGGGATGCATCAGCAGCAAAGGGGTCGGAGAACTCGCATTCATAGAAAATACTATGAATGCTGAGCAATATCTTCGAATTTTAAAGACCCATTTAAAGCCCAGTGCTGAAAAATTTGGCTTTATTTCCGACAACAAGAAAGAAAGAAAAAAGTGTCAAAAAGGCAGCCCAAAAACCGTCAAGCGCTCAAAACGGCGGTGATAGAGGAGTGGCAAAAAATACCATTGGTATATGATATGCCAAAGTTAATTTATTCGATGAAAAAACGTAGGGGAGGGTGGTCCCATACCGACCGGTCGTACCATACCGACCCCCCATGTTTCTCAGAGATGGCGATGCTAGCCGAATTGTCGGTAACTTCAGTGAAAAGCTGTTATAACACAGACATTTTGGAGATAGATAGCCACTTTGACTTATTTTGTTTCACTGCAATTTTTCCGTTTGTTTTGTTTCAACGCCTGTGACATTTATTTTTGAGCTTTACTGAACTTGAGCTTAAATTTTTTTTCTCCGCATAAAAATCGGAGAGTAAATTTTTCTGATCGTTGATAGTCCTAGCTTTCACTCACATAATTAGAATTACATCGCTCTTTGCGTATTTAGTTAATTCCGAGGAGTTAATCAGAAAAGGTCGTGGTGGTCCGAAACCGACCGCTAGGTGATGGTCCGAAACCGACCCCCATTTATTGGCAGCTTAATATGTCATAGCGTATTTTTGAGGGAAAATATGAAAAAGTAAACAAGATTCAGTAAAGAAAAGTAACAGAAACAGCAAAAACATCAGAAGACAGCGAAGAGACAGTCATCAGCGAGCGGCTTTCGAAAAACAACGCGAAAACAACGCGAAAACAACGCGAAAACAACGCGAAAACAACGCGAAAACTTACTATGAGAAAGAGGACAACTCAGACTTCATCAATTGACTACAGTGCCCTTTATTTCATACATTAATTTTTATTTTCTGGAAAGAACCTTCAATATATTTCTTAATAAACGTCAAAATCATTAAATTCTATTTTATGTTATTAAATTTTTCTGTTAAGAAATAGGGGGTCGGTTTCGGACCACTACTTTTGAGTACGACCAAAAAGTAGAGTTTTATATTTGCCTGAATATCTAACGCTTCAAAGCACCTACGCACTTACTAATCATTTAGATGTATAGTAAACTGATCCCTCTACATAGTAAATTTTTGAACTGAACTGAAAAATTGATTTTTCTCACCTTTATCGCCTTTGCCTTTTAGGGGGTCGGTATGGGACCACCCTCCCCTATCCAGTTTGTTGCTAATGCTAAGGGGGGTCACACAAAATACTAAAACTAAGTGTAAGTTGTATAAGTTTCTTAATATTTAGATTTAAATTACAATAATTAGTTTTGTGTAAAGAGTTTCTTGACTGGATGAAAAATGTGTATTCTCAGGTTTAAGTTAATTATTATGTTCCTATGAATTGTTATGTTTTTGTTTTTTCACTTATTAATTAAGCAATCCAAGAATAATTGTTGCGCATTAAAAAAAAATTATGAAATTGATTAGAAGGTGCTTATTTTTTAACCAAAAGTCAAAAATTAAAGTTCATTTTCAGTGTGTAAAGTGTTTCTTGACATACTGTACATACATATTTACAATTTCTTTACCTGGGACGTGTTGGTTGATTTTTTTTTTAATTAAGTGTGTACGAAAATGTTATGCTTTTGTTTTAATGGTTTTTAATGACATTTTTCAATAGCCCATTTTATAAAAAAAAAAAAAAACAAATTTTGTTACAAATTTTTGTTTTTAAAAGGTGGTCAAATAATTTTTTTTCAACTTTGAAAAAGTTGATGCTGAGGAAACCCTTAACTCGTTGTTGGTAATTCAGCACCACCAGAACAAGAACTGTTCCCTTCAGGACTGGAATCCTCTGCGTTTTCCCATAATAAGAGTCAGTGAGTCGGTTAATATGAAGATAAGAGGAGTGTTCAACTCCAGAACAATGGCTCTGGTCTGCATCCGTGGCTACTCCGATCTCGAACTGCTCGACAAACTGGCAATGATATTTAAGGACATGCGATACGAGCGAATAATTCTATGGATACGATATAGGCCCACAAAAAAATTCTTCAAGCAAATCATCAAAAAGGCCAATCAGTTTAAATTCATTCAGGTTCTAGTGTTGCAGGTGGGCGATCATGAAATAATATCGTCTCATTACCTAAATTTGTTCCCCAGTGCACAATTCAAGAGAATTAATAATATTTTGACCGCCCGCAAAATCTTTGATTACTCTTTTGATTTTCGTGGAGCAACGGCCCTTGTGAGGGATCCCATGGAAATGGATCCCTATAAAATAAAGTCCACGCCACCTGGCATCAAGCCTTTTTTCAAATCGATGTCATGCAAATAGAGGAGTTTGCCCACAGGAAGAACCTAAAGCTAAAGTATCTGGAAGGAAACGGGTCACGGGACGAACAGGTCGACATGGAGTTGCGCCTGAGGCTCATTGGCAAGAACAACTTGTCCGCCCACTTGGGATTCGTGAATCCCTCCAGTTCGTCCACTCTGATCGTTATCGTGCCCTGTGGCAAAGGAAAGAGCTTGAAGGACATATACAAGCAAATGGACATCAAGAAGTGGTTCGCGTACGTCCTGGTGCTATACGTCATTCTGATCCTGGTCGAGAACTTTATTCTTCTCGTGACCTGTCGGATCAACGCCCAGTCCTACCGGCTGAGGAGGGAGAACTTCCTGCTGAACCTCTGCGCCTTTCGGGCTATCCTGGGAATGTCCTTTCCCATCAGCCAGCGGGCCAGTCTCTCGCAAAGGCAGCTCTTCCTGGCGATGAGCGTCTTCGGGATAGTCTTCAGCAACTTCTTCAGCTGCAAGCTGAGCGCCCTCTTCACCACGCACCCGAACAGGCCTCAGGTGACCAACTTCGAGGAGTTGCGGGCCAGCGGACTGGTCGTAACTGTGGATCCTCTAACTCGAGGCTTCATAGAGAACGAGCTCGATGCCGACTTCTTTCACCGGACTCTGCCACGGACGGAGACAATGAATAATACGGAGCGTTCCAGGCTGATGCTCTCATTCAACACCAGCTACGCATTCATTGTTTTCAAGGAGACCTGGCGACACTTCTCTTACTTCCAGCACAACATAGGTCGCAAGGCCTTTTGCACCTCCAAAGATCTGACGATCGTCGAAAACCTGCCGAGGGTCTTTGTCCTGCAGAACGAATCCCCTTTCCTCTGGCCGCTGACCAAATTCCTGATGCTGCTCCAGGAGGCTGACATAACTATACATTGGGCCAAGGGAACCATTGAAGCCACAAAGAAATTTCTCAACATAACATATCCCGCAAATTTCTGGTCGCAGGCAGTTCCCATTCAGGTCGAACATCTGACGTGGCTCGGATACTTACTTTGCCTGGGTTACGGACTTGCCACTATCGTTTTCATCATCGAGAGATTCTACGGGGCTAGGCGTAATATGAATTAATATGCACATGATATTTCATCCAATTCATTGATAAATGTTTTTCTGTTTATTGCTTCTAACTAATAAATTAATAAATTTTAATCGTTTAAAACAATGCATCATTTTAATAATGACAAGGAGGTACAAAAATAGTAGCAGTGAAATAATCGCCCTCACCACATCTCACAATGTGTCAATCCAAATGGTCAGCTGTCGAGAGGTAAGAGCTTGAAATTAGAAAATTTAAACTAGAAGAACCTGAAGATTAAAAGTATCCGAATGAGTGGACAGACGCACCTTCAACCCTTTTTAAGGTCTCTGATAAATCTCCGAGCGATCGGTGCCATCCTGGGCCATTCCATTGCCATCCAGAGCAGGTGGAACTTCTCACGGCGCCAGCTCTTTTTGGCCCCGAGTGTGTTTGGATTCGTTTTCAGCAACTTCTTCGCCTGCAAGCTGAGTGCCCTGCTCACAAAGCACTCTCGGCTGGCTCAGATCCAGAACTTCGAGGAGCTGCGAGCCAGTGGACTCCCCGTCCTCATCGAACATGCACAGCTGAACTTTATCAACGAGGAGAAGAACTTCACATTGAAGCTTACCTATACCAAATGTCGTGAGTTTAACCAGGAAATTTAAAGATGAAATGATAATGCAGTTCAACGACAGCTTTGCTTACGTTTTCTTCAGAGAACAGTTTTATATTCTGGACAAGTACCAAAAGCATCTGGGCCACAAGGTGTTTTGTGAATCAAGTAACCTGACCATTTTCTCCAACTTACCGAAAATGTTCTATCTCAAGAGAAACTCTCTTTATATGAAGCCCCTGCGAAAATTTGTACAAAAGGTCCAGGAAAAGGTCCATTGGAAAAGGGAAATCCTTTACATGGCTGAAAAACATCTCAACATATCCAGAAACCGAGTGATAACGAGAGAAGGTGGTCCCTCTTTCGGAGATTACGAATGGCTCTGATTTCTTCTACTCTGCGGCTACGGAATTGCCAGTCTGGTGTTTATAATTGAAATAACTGTTGGAGGTAACTATCATAAGAAGGAAAAAGTGCAAGCTATTGATTGTGTCTCTTAAGCTTAGCTACACCTAATGAAATAATATTGTGTTAAACACTTGTTCGCTTTAATTAAAACTACGCCTAAATGTGTCGCTTAATTTAAACAGCAGGTTCAAGATTTTTTTTTGCTTAGACACAAAAATATCAGCACTGTGGTCTAAAGTAGGTCATTTCTAAATGGCTAAATGTCATTCAGTAGATAAGTGTCAACTCTAAAGCTTTTAAATTAATCGAAAATACAAGAACTTGAACAAATGACACTTGTTCATTACGTTAATGATTTCGATTCAAATCGTGAAGTTATAGCTGTCATTTGATGCGCAACTTCCTCTTTTCGTGTCCTTAGAAACTTAGTTCACTTTAAGACCGGCTTGGAATAAGTTCAAAGGAAGCGCCATATCAGCCCAAAAATGATGCTTGCAATTCTGTTGATTCTCCTTGTGAGTCAAGTGCACATCGAGGCGTCGAAGCAAGTTCAGTTCGAGTACTTCAACGCCCTTATCAGGAATATTGAAAAGGAATATTCAATTAGGACAATGGTCATAGTTCAGCACCAACGAAACCGCAACTGTTCGCTGCAGGATTGGAATCCCCAGGGGTTCCCTGTTCTACGATCAACTGAGGTTGGGGGATTCAAGTTGAGGGGAACCTTCAACCACAATGCAGTGGCTCTCGTCTGCATCGGAGATTTGTCCGATATCAAGCTGCTCGAGACAGTTGGAGTATTTTTTATGAATTTGAGGCAAGAACGAGTCATTATGTGGATGCAAATTAAACCAACTCAAGAGTTTTTTAACGAGTTAACCATCCAAGTTAGCAGGCTGAAATATGGTCGGATTCTAGTACTGCATATGGATGGCAATGAACCAATTTCTTTCCACCGCCTGAGATCTTTTCCCACTCCACACTTTACACGAATCAAAAATATCTCCCACCCCGAGGGCTCACTTTTCCACGAAAAAAATCTTAATTACCAAGGAAAAACGGCTGTGGTGAAGCAAACTGCAAAGGTGTTCTTTCGGGTCGAGGAGAGGGCATTCCTTGAGTTTGCCTCCAAGTACAATTTGAGCCTAAAGTTCATAGATAAAAATGATAGTAAGCCCTTTGATATTGAGATGACTTCCCGATTTCTTGGCAAAGAAGAGCTGCCTGCACTTGTGGGCTATTTAAGTCCGAGGCTCTCGTCGTCCTTGATTGCAGTCGTTCCCTGCCGCGAAGAGAAGAGCATCAAGGAAGTCTTCAAGCAGCTGGACCTTCAGAAATGCCTGTTCTACATTATTTGCATCTACGTTCTACTCGTCCTGGTGGAGACCTTTTTGCAAGTGGTTACCCATCGGATTTCGGGTCGGACATACACCATTTCTAGTATAAGTTCTTTGGTGAACCTGCGAGTTTTTCGCGCCATTCTGGGCATGCCCTTTCCAGTCCACGAAAGGGCGTTCTCCTCGCTCCGCCAGCTCTTTTTCGCCATGAGTGTTTTCGGGATGGTGGTTAGTAGCTTCTTCGGCTGCAAGCTAAGCGCCATGCTCACAAAGCACCCGTTAAGACCGCAGGTTACCAATTTCGAGGAGTTGCGGGCCAGCGGACTTACGGCTCTCGTTGACATACATATGAAATCTTACATCGAGAACGAAATCGATTCGCAGTTTTTTCAGAAGGTTATGACTAAGGTTGAGTTTTTGCAAAGTGAGGAACGTTGGTATCATATGTTTAAATTGAAGGACAGGTACGTCCATGTATTATATGTAGAATCCTTTTCGTTCATGAATATAATCGAGGGAAGTGTATCTTATTGCACCTCCAAGGACCTGGAAATCATACATAATAGCCCCAAGATTCACATCCAGCACAACAACTCCATATACATACATCTGGCCGATGTCCAGAATTTTGCTTTGGATCTATGAGGCAGGCATTGCTGAAATATGGACGAAACAGATCCCACAAAGGCTGAAGTCACATCTCAACATTACCGATCAACCAAAAAGGAGGAAACGGCCATTCCCTTGACCTTTCAACAACTCAATTGGCTGGGATTTCTACTGCTTTTCGGTTATGGCTTTGCCACTGTGGTCTTTCTAATCGAACTGTTTATTGGTCATAGAAGTCAAAGACAACGGCAACCACAGCTGGAATTTTTGCCATAAATCGGATACGAAAAAGAACTTGGCAATCGTCCTGCAACTTTAAGAAAAGAGTTAAAGCACAATATCCGCTTATAAACACCCAATACTATTTTTTGCAAACATATATGTGTAACAATGCCTTTTAATAAATCCCACTTTACTCTTCTCAAGCAGGGCAGTTTTTATACCCTTGCAGAGCAAAAGGGTATTATAATTTCTGTCAGAAGTTTGCAACGCAGTGAAGGAGACACCTCAGACCCCATAAAGTATATATATTCTTGATCAGCATCACGAGCAGAATCGGAATACGTCTGTACGTCTGTCCGTCTGTCCATCTGTCCGTTTCCGCGCAAACTCTCAGTTTAAATGCTATCTTGCTGAAACTTTCCCAAAAGGTGTGTAGTTATTGCACGCAGTATATAAGTCGGAAAGGGCCGGATCGGCCGACTATATCGGATAGCTCCCATACGAGAGAATGAAATAACAAATTCTCACGCCGTTGTTTTTGATCAGATCGACTTGATTTCTTCAAGATGGCGTTTTCGAACTGTTATTGAATTTCGGATTAAATTTGATCAAAATCGGATAACTCTATCATATAGCTGCCATAGGACAGATCGAAAAATATAAATAGAATTAATGGAATTAATTGTTTTTTATCCCACGAGCATGAACTTTTGAATATCAAGTTTTTTAACAACTCTTATACTGAGAAAAAAGTTTCATAAAAATCGGACAACTATATCTTATAGCTGCCATAGAAAAGATCGAAAAATCTATATAGAAATAACGAAAATATATCGTTGTTTTTCATCAGACAAGTATGATTTTTGGAATATAGAGTTTTCTTACGACTCTTGAATTACGAATTAAATTTGATCAAAATCGGACAACTATATCATATAGCTCCCATATGATCTATAGTCGAAAATATGGAAAATTAATAGAAAAATCGTCTTAGCTTCGATGTTGTTTCCCAGCTCTATTACACTTTTCCATTCAAATATTAGTAAATTAAAAAATTTAAAACCAAATTTAATAGATTGCACAGCTCGGCAAAAATCGACCTTTTTTAAAGCACAAGAATAGACACTGCAGGTGCGTTCCATCGCGTCCCTGTTTTTAAAACTTTTCCAAAACATTTATTTTTGGTTTAAAAAACGGATCTACAAAACTCTCCTGAAAAATAAATGTGAGATTTTTTCAAATAGATAAAGTAAATGGCCCAAGATGCTCTGAATGAACATTGATTTGCGCGGAAAAGTATGCATCACCAATGTGACATAGAAATCATTATGACATTACTGTTGTCAACCAAAAAGTTGTATAATATTTTTGCATAGTTTTCTGCGCAATCCAGTAAACATGAACACGTAAATACCCACCGATATCGGTTTTTTAGCAGTAAAGAACAAATTTATTTTACAGGCATTGTGTCAAGGCACTCAGAAACACAATTTTGACGGAAGACAGCTGGTGTTTGTAATCTTTAGGAGCTTCGAAACCATAGCCGTTTGATACATACATATGTACGGGTTTTTTAAAAATTGGAACATCAAACGTTTGGGCCATTACACTGTGCGACAAAAAAATGTTTAAGTTGATTTTTTCTTATTTTTCACTTCTACTAATCAAAATAAGAATATAAGTTTGTGGATTTGTTAATATCAATAACCAATCAGCTTTTACGCACACTCAAATGTCCCAAAAACGCGCGTTTTTTCATTTTTCAAAGCCTTATAATCACATATTGGGAAAATATTTTGTTCACCGTTATAAGCGTTCATGCAAGTTCAATATCTATTAATTAAAATGTATTAAACCGTTAGGCTTTTATAACAATGCTTTAAAATTTTTTTCTCCCAGCTCTATACTCTGGGCGACTACGTATGGAACTTGTTACGCGAGGATACCTCTGAAAAAGCCAAAAAAAATCTGGAAGAAAAATTCAATTTTAAAAAAATAATAGTTTATTGAAAGTAAAAAAAAATATTATTTTGTGTTAATTATTTTCATAATAATAATTTCATAAAATTTACCATGAAAAAAGAAATCGTATCACTTAAAAGGTGGCATAAATATTTTTGTGCATAATTTATGCACCTTAACCGAAAACAATCAAAAAAGTAACTTAAACAAAGATTTTGTTAAATTTTGTCGCACAGTGTTATTGGACTTACTCAGCGGAACATTGCAGTCCACCAAGCAAGGCGTTGGAAAACGTTATTCCGCACTGCCATGCCTGCTTCCCAAGAACTAAAATTTCGAAATTAGATTTTATTACCTCGCTGTTGCTCCCATGCAAACCGCTTGGTTTAAGCAATTCAATAAAATAATTAAACACTTGATACTTTTTTGTCTAACTTTGGTTATAATTTAATTCATTATCTTAACTTGTTCTTGTTCATTCCGATCTTCTGCGGAGTGGCTTACTGCGTTAAGCATTTTCACATGTTGTTGTTTTCAAACATAGATTGAGAAGTTATTTATAATGTATATTTGTTGTGTAATTATATATTAAACATGTAGTATAATTTATGTAGCATACAAAAAAAATAGCTAAAAAAAATAAACAAAAAGGTATCCCCAGGACGAAACCGCGACGGTGTCCACATGTTCGCATTTTGTGTTCGACAAGATGCCCCTGTCAGTAAAGTTGGTTAGGTCAAAGTCCCCTCCTCCTCCTCCTCCTCCTCCTCCTCCTCCGAGGTCGCGGTCTCCTCCTAGTCCTCCTTCGATCTCCGCCCTTCTTCCCCCATCCGCTTACTGTGGCTTCTGGGTCTTTGGTGGTGCTTGTTGCTGCTGCTGTTGCTGCTGCTGCTGCTGCTGTTGCTGCTGCTGCTGCTGCTGCTGCTGCGTCTCGTAGCGCTGGCGCAGGGCGGTCAGGGCGCTCAGCAGGCGGCTGTTGGCCGCGTCCAGAGCCGCGATCTGCTGGCCCTGCTCCTCGATCACCCGCTGCTTGTGCGACAGGGCGAGTGACATCTTCAGCTGCTCGCGGCGCAGCTCCTCTTCCATGGTGATCAGTCTGCAGGAGGATTGCAAGAAACTTTACTTAGGTTTTAAATGGTTATTCATGATTTAAAGCGTTATTCAACCTATGCTCGACAACCCAATTCAGTACGTTATCCACCAGACATATACTCAAGTTTCAGAAAGTTATTGAAACAACATTAGTTGAAAGCAAACAATATTACACTCGAGTATGGTTTTTTCTGTTAACCTGCCAAGGGGCCGTCCATAGACCTCGTGACGCTCCTAGGGGGGTGGGGGGTTCATCAGAGAGTCACGCTTTGTTGTAAGGAGGTTGTAATTGGTATATGTGATGCGTCACATAGGAGGGGGAGGGGGTCAAAAAGCCAAAAATTAGCGTCACGAGGCTTATGGACGGCCCTCAAGCGAATAATATCCTGCTGGCTTTGAAAACACACTGAAACCCAGTGCAATCCCCACCTGTCGATGATGCTGCGCATGGTGGACTCCGACTGCAAGCTGAGATTGTTGGACCCGCTGCTGCCGGCGCTGCCCACTGGCCGCTGGAGGCCGAACAGCTCGTCGCTGGAGTCGCGCAGCTCCGCCTCATCCCGGTCGAGGGTGTGCCGCAGCGAGTCCAGCGTCTGCTGCAGCAGCTGTATCTCCCCGTTCTGGTCGTAGCCCTTGCCCAATCCCTCCGAGCCCGCTCCTCCTGCTCCTCCTCCGTTGCTGCCGCCACTGCTGCGCAGCTGCCTGCGTCGCTTGCCCTCCTGCAGTTGGTTGCAGTGTCCTGCAAGGAAGAGAATTCCCGAGTTAGCCACATCCTCGAAGCCTCCAAACCCACATCCCTAGTCCAACTCACCCTCGGTGTCCGTGCTGCTGTCGGAGAGCGTGCGCGCCGAGTCCAAGCTGAGACGCCGCTGGGCCGCCGAGGTGGCCGATCCCACGCTGCCCGTCACGCTGTCCGCGTACTGCTTCAGCTCCTGTTCCCGCTCCCGATCCCGATCCCGGTGATCCCGCTGCTGCTGCTGCTGCTGCTGCAACTGGTGGTGCTGCTGCTGCTGATGAGCAAGTGGGTGTTGCCCGCCGGCAGCACTGTAGCCCCCGTTGCCGCCGCCACCGTAGCCACTGCCGTAGACATCCTCCCGTTTGAGCGGCCCGTTCAGCCGCCCGTACGCGGAGGGGCCGGTGCTCTTGCCCAGATTCGAGGTGGAGGCGGATGCCGAGGTCGAGGAGCTGCTGCCGCCGCTGAGCGAGCGCTGGGCCTCCAGCTTGGTGGCCATGCCGGCTCCCGCTGCCGCCGCCGCTGCGTAGCTGAAGTAGTTGTCCCCCGAGAGCTGCTCGTCCGACGAACTGGGCGTGAGAGTGGCCGCCTCCAGGGCTCCTCCGCTGTTGAGAAAGGCTGCCCTGGCGGCCACCAGTCCCCCTCCAATCGGTTTCAGCCGGCTTCCAAACTGCTGCTGCTGCTGATGCTGCGGATGATGCTGCTGGTGGGGATTACTGGGAGCTGAGGAGCGCGCCGAACCGGATTGGGGCTGCAGCTGGTAGGAGGGATTCTTGAAGGCTAGCGGCGCGTTGTGACTGCCCATCGCGGCCTTCAGCTGGCTCTCCACGGGACTGGAGGACTGCGAGGGCGAGGGGTTCGTGGAGATGCTCTGGTAGCCGGAGCTGCAGTGGCTGCTCTTCGCCGACAGCTGCTCCTTGCCGGGCACGGCGGCTGGCTTCAGGTGGCCCTGCTGGTTCTGGTGGCTCGGGTGGCTCTGGTGGCCCTGGCTGTGAAGGTGGTGGAGGCCCGCCTGCTCCGCCACGTCGTGCTCCTCGGCGTACTTGAAGAGGTCGTCGAGATCCTCCAGGTTCTTGGGCATATTCGAGTTGGGGTTCAGGTTGTTGCCCCGCACATAGCCACCCGAGTGATCGGGTATGCCCAAATTCAGCTTGTGGTGGCCCCGACCCGCACCGCCCGACGGTCCCAGGCTGGACTTCATCATGGGCGTGGGCGACTTGCAGACAAAGGCACTGCTCGTGTCCAGCCCGGAGATCTGGATCTGGAACTCCCCGTGCATGTCGTCGTAGCTGCCGCTCTGGTTGTTATTGCTGCCCATGCTGGCCATGTTGCCACTTCCCTTGGGATTCCCGTTTCGTGGCAGTGTCCTGGAACGAGTGCTCGACGGCGTGCTAGCCTCGTAGTCGTTGCCATTGCCATTGCCATTGCCGTTCCCGTTGCCGTTGTGCGCGGCGTACGGGTAGTTGGCGCGATCCATCCGCTCCATGGTGCTGGAGGCACTCGTCTGCGGCGCCGGTGGGCAGCGATGCGGGTGCAGCTGCTGCTGCTGCTGCTGCTGCGGATGGTGGCCGTGGCCGTGTTGCTGGTGGCCGTGCACCAGGTTGCTGCTGCTCTCGTTTAGCGAGGAGGCCATGGAGGTCTGCGATTGGGCATGCTGCAGCCCGCCTCCTGGCGACCTCATGTACTGGATGCTGGCAATGGAGGTCTGCGAGTTGGAGAGCAGCTGCAGTGGATGCTGCTGCTGCTGTTGCTGTTGCTGCTGCTGTTGCTGCTGCTGCTGCTGCTGCTGCAGTAGGCCATTCACCGTGGGATCGTTGTACCTGAAGATGTTCTTCTCCAGGGAGTTCGGCGTGAGCACGCCCCTCATGATGCCCCGCTCCGCGGACAGCGGCTTGCTGACGATCGCGTGCTGCGGCTGGGCCAGCTGGCTCTGCTGGGGCAGCAACTGCTCCGGATTGGCGGAGCTGGCGTGCGGGGCGGCGCAGCCCGGGTGGCGGTTCTCCTGGTTCTCGCTGGCTATCGAGTGCGTGGAGGAGGTGGCCGGCAGATAGCCGCCCGGCAGCGCCATCCCCAGGCCGTGCTCCTTGGCCCGGCTGATCTCGTCCAGGATGTGCTGCAGGGGGACCAGCTCGTGCTGCCTGGCCTCCGGCAGCTTGGCCAGGCTCTCGCTGAGCAGGCTGTGCAGGATGGACAGCTGCTTGCCCTGGTCGATGTAGCCGGCCCAGTCGAGGATCGAGTCGGGGGCGGGGTGCTCCGGCCGCGTCGAAATTATCTCGAGGAACTGCTGCATGCGCGCGGCCTCCTGCTCGAGGAAGTCGTTGAGGAACTCCATGAAGTTCTCCTTGCCCTGGAAGCGGGTGAAGTTGGCCAGCGTCTGCAGGGTCTTCGCCACCAGCGTGAGGTTGCGAGTGGCCCGCGCCGACGGCAGTTCGCTGGTGATGTTGAACAGCGACGGCGACAGGATGGCCGGGCACAGGAAACGCAGGAAGATGCTCGCCGAGATCAGGTTGTCGGCCATGTCCTGGCGGCCCAGCTGCTGCAGGCGCTCCCGGAACGTCGCGAAGCAGTTGCGCAGCTGGGCGGGGAAGTGCTTGTGCGACTCGAAGATGCACTGCCACGCCCCCCGCACCGCGCCGCGCAACGCCGCCTGCTGGCGCTGCAGGGAGCCCGCCGAGGAGCCGCTCGCCTTGGTGGGGTCCACCTCGCAGTCGCGCTCCGACTGGATCAGCTCGTTGATGGGGGCGGAGAGCGTGTCCTGCAGGTACTGCTCCCCCGTGAGCTTGAGGAACGCCTCCATGCTCTTGGTGGCCAGCGAGTTGCCGCGGAAGGTGAGCCGCTGGTCGCCCACGCGCAGCAGGTCCAGTGCCACCACGTCGGTGAGGAAGGCGCCCGCGAGGCCCTGCGCGTGCATGAGCAGCACCAGCGCCTGGCCGATGTCCTCCTTGGCCTTCACCCCGATCACCGGCTCGAGGGTCTCGCAGACCCGCTTGTAGTTCTCCTTGAGGTAGGCCAGGAAGTTCGCGTACACGTTGATGGGCAGGATGTCGGTGCTCTGGAAGCGGCACTTGATCCGCAGCGTGGGCAGCTGCTCCTTGTGCTCCTTCGAGCCGCTGCCCCCGCCCCCGCCGCCGCTGCCACCGTTCGAGCTCCGCCCGAGGCTGTCGCCCGCCTTGTCGCTCAGGATGGGGTACCAGTGCTCGCACGGCAGCCGCGAGGTCACCTCGTGCACGGGGATCTTCACCGAGCCCACGAACTGGTACTTGTCCCGCTTCTTCTTCTTGTCCACCTCGCGGAAGACGTTCACGGTGATCACGTTGATCTCGGGGATGTCCGGGAAGTCGAAGTGCTCGCCCCAGAAGAGCAGGTCCGTCTGCAGCTTCACCGAGGTCCGTCCGTAGAGGGTCTTGTCCAGGTGCAGCTCGCAGAAGTAGCGCTTTTTGGGCGGCAGGTTCTTCGCCTCGTAGACCCACATCTTCAGCGAGTTGTCCGTGCGGCGCGTGTGCTCCGCGTTCGGGGAGATCGACTTGCGCAGCGAGTAGATCCAGAGGTCGCGCTCCTGGCGCGACCCGCACGAGTAGTACCGCTCGCCCCGCGGCCCGCCGCGCACCTGGAAGCAGTGCCGCCGTCCCAGGACGGACTGGTGCACGGGCGCCACGCCCACCGCCCCCGTGCATGAGAGATCTGGAAGCAAGACCCGTTGCGGATTACTCGGTTACTTGGTTACTCGGTCGCCAACTCACCTATGGTGGACATGACGGCGTGGCTGGACAAGAGACTCTCGTGCGAGCGGGATCCCCTCAGTCCGCCGGATCCGCGCTTGGTCCGCTCCAGCTTGGTCACCGACTTGGTCCGCTTCAGGGGATTCGATCTGCATTGCCAACGGGAAATAGTTGGTGTGAATTATTCAATGCCCTTAAATTTGTCTCCCTCTTTTAGTTTAAACACCCACAAAATATATAATTATCAAATCTCTTTATGTTTAACAAAAGAAGCTAGACTCATCTCCGCTCTAAAGTAACAAGATGTTTCCCTATTGGTTTCTTTTGTTAGTTGGATCCGTCGGTTATAGAGGTTTTGTGGAGTTTTCCATTAATGTTTCTCAACTCTATGGCAGCTCATCATATAGGAGTCCGCCCTTTATAGAAATAACTTTTGAATAGCTATTATCGTAACGAATTGCTTAACGTTGAGCAAAATGCGTGAATGCCTAACAACATCGAAACTATTACGATTCTTTCTAATTCCACCCGATTGTTCCTATGCCAGCGATATGAGATGGTCATCCGATTTTCAAGAAATTTAACTCGGAATTCAGGAATCGTAAGAAAACACCATCTGGAAAAAATTCTTTATGAGCCGATGAGTTATGTTGGTATGATTTTTTCCGTTCTTTTCACAAATTCTCCTATGGGAGCTAGCCGGTATAGTTGTCCGATCCGACCCGACCCCATTTATTATGTATTGCACGTATAGTAGTGCAATAACTACACAACTTATGGTAAGGTTTCAGCTAGACAGTTGTAACACTGGAGAACAGTTTACTTATTAAACGAACTGAGAGTCGTATGCGTCTAGTTCGAATCAGATGGTGAAGCTGATCCAGAATATTTATACATAATGTGGTCCGAGGTGTCCCCTTCGGACTAAAACACCCTTTGCAGGGTATAGAAAAGAAAGATAGCCCTGGAGAGGCACTCGGGGGTTCAAATTGTAGCTTATTAAACCTTATTTAATATTAATTAATTAATGTCGATCGTAAGCACGCATATGAATCCATATCTATATCATATACACTTTATCATACTCACTTTTTGGAAAAGAAGTTTGTGAAACGCGAGGTGGCATTGTGCTCTGTCTGGTGCTGCTTGCTGCCCAAAATGGGCGTGGTGGGCGCTGATCCGCGGCGGCACGCCTTCTCGTAGGAAGTATCTGCAAGGAAGAGGGCGAGGATGTTCGCATTAGAAGGGATTATCTCACAAGTGCCATAACAGAGGCCGGATCGAATTCCGCAGTTCAAATATACACATTCCATTGACCCTCCTCTCAGGTGATTCAGACCAAGATTTTGATCCCGGGATGATGAATTCCACGCTCCGCTTCCATCCTCCTTTCATCCTCCCCCGCATATTTTTTCCCAGTTCCCGCACAACCAAAAAAAGAGACACAACACTTTGCCATGAATCGGCCGAATCAGTCGTTTTCGAACTACTTAAAACTGGTTTTGGCCTATCGAACAAAGAAAAGGAGCAGCTGCTGCTCAAACGAATTCACCTCAACCCAGCTCCGGAGAACCATCAACATCGCGGCATCACCTGCCGCAAAACAAAAAATAACAACAGCCGGGGAGCTGCCAGCAGACCTGGAAAATGCGGAAGGGGCAGGTAGCCATGATTCATCTTGTGCCTCATTATCGTGGCAAGATGCTCAGCGAGTACACTACTCAAAGAACACAGAACCAAATGCTTATATTCAATACACCCGAAGAATTTACAATTCGGGCGATGGCAAATAGCAATCTGACTCCAGCAAATTACCATCACAAATGATAATTATACCATCTTTTTCCTAAAACCAAATCGATGTAACAAGGTAATATGGCAAGAAAAAAGATCAATTTTTGTATGTTTGGGGATGTTTTAAAGATATAAAAAATACACCCAACACTAAAATTTAAAAGATCAGAAAAACATCGAAAATTATATTTTTAATTACTCAAGTGACTTTTTTTTCTTTCTAGGACTTTTCTTATTATTGCAAAATTATTGTATACAAAAGATAAGCATTGGTAATAAAAGCTGGAAATGCGAAAAAGATTTTTTATTCAGATTAAGATGGCGACAACAATAATTTGAATAAAAACTATGTTCACTATGGCTCGCTATCTTGCGAACTTCTTATCTAATTTGAAAACAGAATACGTTGATAATTTTAAAAATGTTTAGGAAAAACTTTAATCGGGTTGTTATTGATTTTCCTATTTCCTAAATATACAAAACTAGGAATATATCCGGCCAATCCCTGTTTTTCCAGTGCAATTACAGCTGAAACTAATTTCAGTCCGGGGACAAAAAACCAGTTCCCACCTGGTCATCTCATGCTCATCATCTGCCTGCGCTCTCCTCTTGACCAAGCCGCCCTCACTGCCGTGAAAACGAAGAACGGGCCCAAAAACAAAGCGACCTTGTCGAAGGCAGGCCACCGACAAAGTCAGCGATGAAAATGGGGGAGACGAGGTGGGGGAAATGGAGGTGGAGCCCGTGGAGCGCGTGGACTCGGCCATATCACGTTCTGACTCATCTGGGATCTGGGAGAGCAAACATCGTTTTTATCTGATGGCATGCAAAAGAGGCATCGAGGAAACGGGCAGTTTTTCATGTTTAATGGGCTACACCCTCGCCCATCGCAGACTTCTCCCCTTTTTGGTGCTTTGTGCTGCCCGTAAGGGCTCCCTTCCGCATTTCCAGGCTTCGAGTGTTTCAATGGATTTGTCATTCATCCAAGAGGCAGAAAAAGCAAGGGGAAACCGAAACACTTCAAAAATGTGTCACCTTTGGCATGGTTTGGCATTCAAAAACACACGACTTCTATAAATTATAAAAGAAGAGCGGGCAAAAATTATGAAACATTCCCATAGAAGATCAAAACTCGTTGATGAGCAACTGTATCGTCAACTTAATCTTGCCGCCTGGCGTGCAAAGCAAACAGCCGAAGCAAAAAGCATCTAATCCAAAGCGATAAAGTATATAAAGTATATATACATACATATAAACAAAAGAAGGTAAGTCGAAAACGGCGCATTTATTCCATTTTCGTGGAAGGTGGGTGTTCCACGCCCCCAGATGAATACCAAATCTAGAATAGACACGCAAATCAGTCCATCAAAAAAATGTTGAAAACGATACGCACCCTAAAAAACATGTTTTGATAAACTAATGCCGGGAAAGGATGTTACTCAACCAAATATACACTATTTTCCTAAAACTTTCCACGATAATCTGGGGCAGGGGAATGGCTTATCATGTTTCCCAGCAAACCAGCTGCAATTATTTAAACTTTTCGCTTCATAAATAAAGTAATTATACGCACTTTCTGCAGTCCAACAACTTCAATTGCTCTGAACTGATGGAAGAACATCAGCTTTAAGTTCGACTCCCAAGACTCATAAATGTGTAACCCAGGGTTCAAGCACTGATAATGGCTCTATTAAAAGATACAACAGATCTCCTTCTGAGTCTGTGGTCCAATAAGGCCAAATGATTGGCCATTTTGGGGAAATAGGTGGGCCAGTGCCATACGTATATAGTGCGATGAAGTCAGCGCAGATCAGGTTGCTGCCTATTACACCGAATCTCGGATAGTGTAATCACTTTTTGGCCAGATGACCGGACCTCCGAGCCGCAAGACTAAGATCGTGATGCGATGAGGCTGAAATGCTGCTGACTTCACACCGATATTGCTCATCACCCCTGAGTCATTCCATAATTCTTTGGTTTTTTGGTTTTTTGGATTTTTGGGGTTCGGGGTCGCGATTCACTGGCAATTAATACGGATTGCAGGCGGGTGAAAGGGGAAGGGGGAAGGGAGGGGGTCGCTTTCACTGGCCACCGAAACGGTGATCGATCGAATCGGATCGGGTCGCTTCGCATCCGATGATTTACCTTGGGCAGATGCAAACTGTGCGATAAGGTCAGCGCTCAATTATCAGCGCGTTAAGTAAACCAAAGCCGAGCCAGAGCCAGAACCGAACGAAAAGCATGTGGAAAGTGGAAAATGCGTACAGTGATCACTCACTATCTCACGATCCGTCAGTGGGGCTCTGATAAATGGAACTAGCCAGCGATCGCGGCAGATAAATGGCCCAAGTATATTTATCTCTTTTATTTTTTTTCAGCTCTTCTGGCTGTGTTCTTCGAAAATGTCAACAGTTCTCGGTTGAGTGATACGTGATCAATGGGCCCACAAGTCACTCTGCCCCGATAAGGCGGCGATCAATAAGGAAAGGTTCATATTTGAGTTTCATATGCTCTCCAAATCATACATGTTCCTACATATCTGCCTTGTCTATTTCATATTATTTCACTCGTCGCCTCCACTTTATCGACAAAAAATAGAAACCGCCTTGGGTTAAGTCGTTAGTTACGAAAGCGTTTGCGCCTTATCACATTACAAACAAAATGCAATTGCAAGTGCACTGAGCGAATGGAGCGGCAAACAACAGCAAGCCACTTTATACAATCTATTTACATATATGTATGTTTGCTGGCATCTCGAAGTCGACACTGAGTTGCACCGAAAAAATATGTGCGTTTTCCTAAAAACAAAATAAGTTTGCTAAATCGGCGATGCATTTAATGATTAATTTTCACTTCAGAAAACGCAACTATTGCCACAAAGGATTTGAATTAATAAGCCTTTAGCATAAAAAAACTGCCCAAAAAATTAGTTAATAACAGCCCTGAAGCATTTGAAATGGCTTTACAAATAGATTTCGTAAAAAGTACTGTCTCCCTATTGTTCTAAGATGATATAAAATAATTGCAACCTCAACTAGACAAAAAACAAAATTTGTTTGATTATTCTCAACTATCACCAAATTAACCCCAATTATTTTCAGTGCATCAGCAAAAAATGGCAGCAACAATTTGAGTTTTAAAATAAAGCGGTTGGTTTGTTTGGCATTCTCGTTCTCCTCTCTCCTCTCTCCTTCGCTCTCTTCCCGCTTCTCGCTTTAAAGTAAAACTGGTTTCTTGTGCGGGTGTGTGTGAATCATAATAAAATAACAACGGTACAGAAAAAAGCAACGAAATTGAAATTGTAGCCAGGGAATGGAAGGGAAACAAAACGACGCCGCACAGTGGGCCGGCATTTGAATGATCACAAATCGAATTGACCACACTTCTTGGGCGGCAATAATGCGAATCGATCGGGTATTTAACGGTACCTAGGAGTACGCCTGCCTCTCTCTCTTTCAAACTCATTGAAATGCAATGAGCTTCGCGTCGTTCCAAGTATAGAAAACTGATTCCGATTCAATGACCAGCACAGCAGGAATAACTCAAGAAGTCGTCACTAGTTGAAAGAAACACCAATGGCGTTCTCGGAATACGAAATCAGAATGCAAGAGGATGCCCGCAAGACACATAGATACACTTATACACACTCCAATCACTTTCGGATCGGTTTATGTATTTGGGCTCGGTGCTGCACAGACGGAAAACACGGCGATCGGAAAAAGGCCAGCAAGATATGTAAATTCCTCATTAAAGAAATTCTGTCGTTATTATTACGATTTGGTCTAATCTGGAATCATTCATGTTTCATGATTAGTAACATTATATCAGTTAATATTTTTTTATTTCTGTGTGCTTCCACAAAGCCCATGGTGCGTCGCTTCACTGCCTTCCAGGGCCATCAAATTGAGCTACAATTGAGCCACACAATTGGGCTACGTTCCAAAAGAATACATATGTATGCTTGGACGCACATAAAAATATATGTATGTATGTGTATACAGTCGCAATGCGGTGGTTGGGGGAGGTTCACCTCCGATCGTGTGTAAATAAAGTAGCTGGCTTGATGATGGCAAACGTCGCAAAAGAAACGCACAGGAAGGCTTAATAGGAGCCGCCAGAAAGTGTGAAGAACACACGAAAAGAGAGGGAGGAGTCGCACAGCTGCGGTCGTAATAATAGCCATCGAAACATCTGCCCATTAAAGAACCCTTAATAAAATTTGTAATTTACAAGTACAACATTGTGTTCGGCCGTTTAATATTAGCTATTATCCCTTCTAATAGACACTTCATAACGATCTGCAATCATTACATATTTATCTGCTCAGTTTGAATAAATAATATATAGCATTTGTATATAGTTTGAAAAGTGTATAAGTACTTTCATGGCATTAAATTATTTAAATATTACGAAGCTATTATAAGCGGAGTACGCTTTATACGAATTTAAATTGATTGTACACATATTATCGAGTAGTTTGAGGAACAACTAATATTGTAGACCTACCACTTTGGCCCTGACTGTCTACTGAGGGCGGGGAAATGGGTGTTATCTTATCGTGACCCTGTCTAGATAGGAGAATACCAAATGCGATCGCCGTTGCTCGATACAAACAGCCATTGTTCGCCCAAAGGGGGATCGCTCGATCGAGTTGAATGTAATGAAATGCAATATAATAGTATGGATCGCAAATGGGGTTGTTTTTCGGCTGTCTGCCACAGGAAATACTCGGTACTCGCTCATGCGCAGGAACAATGGTTCTTGGGGTCGGGACCTACCAGAATGATGTCCCGCATCGTCCTCCGCCGTCGCCGTCGCCGTTGTCTCACTCTCTGTGGCCACCGAGAGATCCGCTCCAGCTGCGGAAACCGAAGCTGTTGCGGATGCGGATGCCATGTGTATGGCCAGATCCCTGATCTTGAAGCGCTCGCAGATGAGCTCCTCGCAATGATCGGCCTGGAAATAGCAGTTGAGTTCGTCCACACTCAAGGGGCACACGTCGTAGGGCTGGTAGAAGTGCTTGCCCCAGCTGCCGTTGTTGCTCGAACTATCCCCAGCGCAGCTGGAGGACAGGGATCCCTGCATGGCTGTCTGGTTGATTGTCAGTGCCGCGAAATTGGTTCCCGATCCCGAGGCTTGATTTGGTTTCAGCAAGGAGTTATTTCGCGACACCTTGGTGGAGTGAGCCCGACGAATGAAACTGAGCGACTTCTTGGGCGGCGAGCAGACCGCAGAAGGATTCGGGGGCGTAACGGCTGCTATATCCGCCGACAGTTTGGGCGTGGACTTCAGGAGAAAAAGGTTCTTCGGCGGGAAACTGTGTGTTAGAATGGACGTGGCCGAGCAGCTGTTCTGCAGCTTGTAGGGCGAGGATCCTGCTATCTGACTTGCGGTGCTGCCGCCAAACAGCTGGCGCTGCTTTTCCTGCAGCTTTTCCTGCTTCTCCTGCTGCTTTTCCCGCTTCTTTTCGCGCTCGTCCAAGGCGGCTGCCTCGCGTAAAACAACTGAGGGCGATAAGTTTTGCGGCAGCGTCTTCGATTTGGCACGGAGCGTAATCAGAGTCGTCGTTGTCGTCGTCGTCGTCGTCGTGGTTGTTCCCGCTCCCACAGATGAGGTATTATTATTAGTACTGTTATTCGCATTTGTGGCCAAGCCCCGCTCCACCGAGGGCAGCGGTACGGCCAGAATGTTGGTGCGCGACCGCGACTTCATCAGCTTTATGGGCGTCGAAGTGTTCGTCTGCATGCGACTGATCTCCGAGTCGTCGTCGTACTCGTTTGCCTCCTGGGCGGACAGGGCCTGCTGCTTGGGCGGCGGGGGCGTGGCCAGGACTATGTCGTTATCCTCGTTGAAGTGACTTCTGGGCGCCGAGAGGGCGGGAGCGCTTCCCATGGACGCCTGCTGCTCACCGTCGCTGCCATTCAAGCTGATCACGTTCAGCACGATGCCATATCGCTTCAGCTTCGACGGGGAGGCGGCGTTGTTGTTGCCCGTGGGCAGGGACTTCAGCAGCTGCTCGCGGTGGCGCGCCTCCGAGGAGTTGGCCTCGTCCTCGTCGGAGTCGGAGTACTGGCCCGCCGTCTCGCTGCCACTGATGCTCCAGTTGAATCCGCAAGGCGGCGACATTTTCGAGGGAGTTTTCCGCTCGAAAAGCGCACTAACCTTGGCCACGCCGCTCTTAACAGAGCTGGACTTGCGCAGACTGTAGTTCCTGGTCGACTTGGACTCCGAGTTCGGGAGCGAGTTGCTGTTGCTGCTCAGGCTGCTGTTGCTCGAGGACTTCTGCACGGAAGGGTCCTGGTCCCGCTTTTCCTCTTCGTCCTCGGTCACCAGGGGCACGTAGAATGTGGAGCGACGGCGCTGCGACTTTTCCTCCGGCGTGGCTACTTTCGGGGGCTCACTGTGCTCAGTGCTTGACGTGTCTACTGTATTTGCTGTGCTGCTGGCCTGCAACATTTTGTGCCCGCCTTTTTTTTGCTCAGTGTACTTTAGAGAGCATCGCACACACAAACATTTGAGGAGTGAGAGAACACACGCAGGTATATTTTGTGTTTGTGTTGGGCGACGCTGCTTCTTCTTCTTCAACTTCTTTCTCTTTTTCGCCGATGCTGCTTTTCAGTTCTTGAATTTTATTTACTTCCCCTCTTGCTTCTTCTCTTGATATTTTGTTCAAGTGTGCGTTTGTCGCTTGGCTTATAAAAATTATGCGCTCAACTGCATTTCCGCGTTTTTTTTCTCCCTTCACGCTTTGCTTTTGCTGTTATTTTATCGCCTTTTCGCATTACTTTGTCGCTTGGTTAAGTTTTTCTTTATTTTGTACAACGCTTTTGCTTATTTTGTTTGTTTTATTTGGCTTTCAATTGCAGCATGACACACACACCAGCAGCGCACGGATACTGCACTAATACACACGCATTTTATGTTGTACAGGAATTCCGTATCTTTTTGTGTTGTTAGTGGGAACCAGGATAAAGCACAAACAAAAACAACACTCGCTTAAAACTATTAAAAAAAATATTCGAGTAAAGAGTAACAAACAGGGAAACAAAGAATGTATTTTACAGCGAGAAATAAAATGCAACAATAGTAAAACCGAAACGCGAAGAGCGCGAATGAAAACAATAATTAACGAGCGCTGAACCGTCTGCGTCTCGATCGAATTCAAAAATTTATCTGAGTAGAGCTGCAAGAGCATTGGGTTTACAAACGATAGTATCGATGTCTTCAAATGGTTCAATCGATGTTTTTGCAGCCCTACTGAGACAGTCCTACCAGATGGCGGAACGGGTTTCCAAATACTGACGATCAAACGCTAACACCAACTAAAAAATACCGGCACCACCTGGTACCAAAAATTGTTCTTCCACCTAGTCAAGTCCTGGTTTGAAGCTCGGATTAGTACAGTACTGTTAAACGGTGTTGTTTTCTAAAAAGCCTTATAAAGATTTTAAATTTGAATTTGCATTTAAATACATATGCTTTAGGAAACGGTTGACATAAACTTCTCTGTGGGAAGAAAATGCTAAAAATATCTTGAAAAATCTGAAACAAGAACCAAAACAATACCAGCCGCCGATCGACAGTGCCGCCCATGCGTATACAAAACAAAAGACCGAAAGAGAGAGTGAGAGAGTAGTTCCAACGTGATCTGGCAACGCCATGACCACAACTAAGGGAGAAATATTAACGGCGACAGCTAAAAATATAAAAAAAATGAAACCTAAACTTAAAATTTGCACATTTTAGTGGTTTCTTTTGGAAAATTCTTTTTATGATGTAGAATTTGCCAAAAAATATTATTTATCATATATGCAAACATAACATTTTTAAAATGCAATATTGTTGAGGAACAAATTATTAGCATTCTTACAACATATCCTCAATATATCCTATTTAACTCAGAACCAAACTTGCACTCCCTGCTTTGAATTTTATCTTTGTCTCTTAAAGTTGGTACTATTTAACTTTAGAAACCACCCTTTTTTTACTTTTCCACTCCAACTGTAATTGTATATGTAAAAACGTACATTTCCATTCATTTCCATCGGCTAATTAATGCATAGGATTACAATGAATTGTACAGTAGGGAGGTTTTATTTTATTTTTCGTCCCCCAACCACAAGGCGATCTTTATATAAGCCACGTCCTGGCTCTCGAAATTCTGTTATTTTAAGGAAAGTCGCCTTTCGACCATAACTGAGACAGTATATCTGTTGTTAAGTAAATAAACAAGCCGAAAGCCATGAAACACTGCATACTTTTATGGCTGAGTAGAGTTTATGTCATTTCGTGTAGACATTAGGTAGTTATGTTATGGAAAACTTGCAGTAGACCGTTAATAACCGCCATGAAGCAGATAATGGCTTATATATATTATATTATATTATTGAGAATACTACAGGGTATAACTGACATTCACAAGAAACCAACATACAGTAGAATCCCGATTATCCGAACATCGATTATCCGAACATCCGATTATCCGGACTCATTCATTTTCATTGATAGCGTTCAACTGAAAGGTTGTCTTTTATTTTTGTTTACGTTTTGTGTTGGAAATTTAAAATGTCCAAGCGAAAATGAGTAGTGTTGTCTCTTAAAGACAAAATAAAGATATCTTCATAATATATCTTACCTAATAAAAATTATTAAAACTTAAATATTATTTGATTTGCTTTGAAATCGGTTATCCGGATTTTTGATTTTACGGAATACCCCTGGTTTTAAAATTTGGAATTTTGAGTGTAATACCGATTACGCAAGGGTTAATGCCAATAATACAAAAATTTTAATAATAAAATTAATAATAAAATTAATAAAAAAAATAAAAGCAAATAAAATAATGAAAAAAATAATGTGAAAATTTTTAAAATAATTTCGTACAAGTGCCTATCAAACCCATGTATTTTTTTTTTTTATTATTATTATTAATTTAGATGATAATGTTGACAAAAACCAACAGTTTTACCTTAAAATCTACAAGTAAGCAACAATAATGCTAATACAAGCAAAATGCAAGACAGCTTAAAAGCGATTAACGACAAAAATCAAGATTTAACCAGATAAATCTAAACGCAATATTGAGGCACATTTTACACTTCCAGCTGGGCAAAATTCATGGAGTTAAAAACCCCAAGAAACCTTTTGAAAAAGTTGCGACAAATCCGAAACGTTTGAGAAAAAATTCAGATGCAAATTTAAATTCCCCTGCATCCTACAAAATTATCTGAGAGCTTAAAGGGTGTAAATTCGCGAAAGTCATCTGATTGGGTGTTGTGGTTCAAAAATACATTGAAGAAGAAAGAAACCGCTCGTAAACTTGCTGATAACAGCGGAGCTGTCGCATTTTGCTAAGCCGGCGAAAATAGTCGCATTTGTGGGTTTCTAGGCCTTCCTCGTGCCAAAGCGCTCCAAGCGCCACTGGAAAATCAGGGAACAATGTCACGACATTGAGATACGGGGCATGAGTAACCAGTGAGTGGACCGCTGAAAGGGAATCAATCGAACAGTCGGGGACTTTGTGTTACCTTCGTTCGGCGATGAATCGTTCAGCGCCGTGTTGAAATGAATTCGCGGCAGTGTCTTCGTCTTGTACTCACCTGCAAAACAACAGAGAGGGAAATGAAAATGAGTTAGTTGTGTCTAATGCAAATTCAAATGCCAGAGCTACCCCGGCTTGCAAGTACTTAATGTTTGTGCTTCGTTTTGCAAAACTCGACCCATTTACATGGCCCGACGACCTTTGAGCTTGTTGTGAATTCACTTCAATTAATGCAAAATATGAGATACAGACGCAGACGAAAGTAAAGTAAATTGAGCAATTGTTGTAGGTGACCCAGGAGTCTCAGTTGTGGGTCTGCTGCCTTTGGAGAGCCCCTTGACTTCCCAGCCCGGCCATTACACTCATTGTTCCGTTGACACTTTTCCCAACACTGACTGCATTATCTACTTTGCGCTGGTCATCACACGCAACTGGGCAACTGTAAATTATTCCGCCGCACAATTGACTTCAAAGCGGAGCGACCGATCCGCAGAACTGGCGAACTGGTGAACTGGCGAGCCAACGGCCCAGCGAATCCAATGATGATTGTGAATTCTCGATGATGTCACATCCGTCATCCGTCCGAATCGTGCGAAGTGCTCCTCTTTCAGAGAAACGTGATGACAGATAAAATAACCCTGGCTCTGCGCTTTGAACTACGCAGAAAAGCCAAATTGGGGCTCTCGACTGTTTGTAATATAATTATGAAAGTTTGGTTTTCATGATGTAATTTTCTTACAACTTAAAAACATCATGTAACGGGATATATGTATTTAATGCAGTGTTGGGAAACTTAGCACTTAAATATAGTATGCAGTGTAAGTAAGAGTAATGGTTTCCCTGACTAAATACTCACTCCTGCCCGCCGTCTCCAGAGTGGAGGCACCCGATCCTGTCCCGGACATCCGGTCCTGGTCGCCCTTCCCCAGCTGCAGTTGCTCCTGCTGCAGCAGCAACGGGTGCTGCAGTTGCAGTTTATGCTGCTGCTGCTGTTGCTGCGGCAGGAGCTGCAACTGCTGCACGTCGCAGTGCACCTCGTGAATGGGCGGGGTGGGGGCGTCGTCCCGCTCGCCCCTCAAGCAGGAGGCCAGTCCCCGACTTCGCGGGATCGTGCTCCGCCGCAGGGCCGTCGCCTGGGGCTGCTGCTCCCCGGACCTCGAGGAGCCGGGGTTCAGGGTCGCGTTCTGGGACTGCGAGGCGGTGCGCGGCATGGAGTTCATCTTCCTCGGCTGGGGCGTCGTCGAAGTCTGCATCTGCACCTCGTCGCTGATTGCACGCAAAGCACCGCAGTTCATCCTGGTTTGGTTAGCTGCTCTTCTTTTTTGGTATTGGTATTGTTGCTTGAGTTGCCTTTGCAGGTTTTTGGTTATTGTTGCCTTGGTAGTTTCGTTAATGGTTTTGTTTTTGATTTTTGTTAGTTCAGTTCGTCTTTAACCTTGACATGGTTTCCTGTGCGAAGGGGTAAGTATTCGACTCGAAACACGCGGCACTTGCGAAGGGTTAAACAGCCTGGCCTGGCTTGGTCAATTTCGAAGACGGTAAGCGGTGAGGTTGCGATGGCGAATCGAGTGTGCTCTTCACTTTAATAACTTGGGACAAGAGTTTTCAGGAAAACGGATCGGTATTAACCCCATTCAAAAAGTGCCCTCGTAGACTACTCACACGTTAATTCATTATGTTACGTGACTCGATATTTAAACTTATTTTTTATAAATCGATAAGAAAGATGTGATATGTGACCCGTCTCTAGTTTCCCATATACGTATGTATTTCGATATATTGCGATATTTTGATACCAGTGTCCTAGTTTCGAACGCTTTGAAAATGCACTTGAAGTGTATTGCTTTATCAGCTAAGTGAAATGCAGGTGGTGGAATGAGTGTGCGTTTTTGGAAACGATAGCTATGAATATTGTTTTTGAGGCATTAAATATTCGTGTGGTCTAGTCACTTCTGTTTTGCGGGGTGTTTCTTTCTTTTTTGGGCCCAAACCATCTGACATCGACGGCTTGGTTTCGCTTGCCTGCGCTGGCAATTAAGATTTATGGTCATGGCGTGTTGGTCCCTGTGAGCGCACCCCTGCCGGTTTCCTCGCCCTGCCTCAAAAACAAAAACCCAAAGGCTACTACCAATGCGACTTATTGTGACTCGAAAATTGTTCAGTTAATTTTCCAAAAAGGCTTTTCGTTCTTTTGCACACGCGCGACTGCGCAACAACACAACCACAAGCAAAATCACATTAAAAATACTACACACACTCTTGGCTTAAATTTTCCTTTTAACTTGTACAATTTTACGCTCGTTGGTTTTTGTTGCAACAGTATGGAAACGAAACGGAATCGAACCGGAATTGGAACGAAGGTGGAATATAAATGAAATGTTTGTGTGTGTGTGTGTGAGGAAGCAGCTGTGTTGTTTCTAAGGGGCGGGCGGGGGTTCTTCACATCTGACAAAGAGCGAGGGAGAGAGAGAGAGAGAGGAATCGCACAAGAAAGCTAAATAAATTTTTGGCCCACACAACATTGTTCTAAAAATGTTAAGCTTAAAAACGGCTTGCATAAAATTACGTTACACATTACACGGTAACACAACTCAATTAAAATTGAAATTTGGTGCTTTACCAACTTCAGAGTTACATTTACAAATTGCTCTCCCTAGAACACAGAAAAGCATGAATTTCCCACTGCACCATTTACTTCGCACTTGGCGTTTAAGCCCGGTTGCCAATCGATAAATGCAGGCCAATTAAGCGGCGAGCAATCATAATGTATGC